TCCCCGCTAACGGAAAAGTGTAAAACATAGTAAATCTTATAGATTTCGACCTGCTGAACACGATGGTGCTATTAGTTTTCATTGAAAATGTGGGGAACATCATTTTTCTAGTTAAAGTCCTATATTTCACCCTCTCTGTAATACATGATTTTCAATACAAGTGGATTATTTCATGTGAAACTTAGTATGCAAAGGTTCCTAATATTGTTAAACGGAAATCTAATAAATAAGATAAATTCGGAATAAAGGATCCAAAATTGCCATATAGCCATTTTTTTGCTGACGCCAACTTTCTATAAACCGCTCTTAGTCGAGCCCAGGGACAACGAGCGTGAACATGGCGGTTTTCTGTCCTCTCTTCTTTGTGTTTTATGTATTTTTTGTTTTTTTTGTGATTTGTATTTTTTAATATGTTTTAGTATTTTTTCATGTGTTATATAAGGTGCGTTTGGAGAGACGCTATTAGCGCTATTTGTGTCATTCTATCCTTGTTTTACGTTTAATAAACAATGAAGATAGAATGACAGAAATAGCGCTAATAGTGTTTCCCTGAACGTACCAATAATTGGATGCTCATTTTTTTCAACTTCGAATTATTTGAACAGATCAAATATTCGACATGTTCGAATCTTTTGTCTGAGCCCTAGAAAAAATACTGAACATATAAAAAAATACAAATCACAAAAAGAAACAAAAAATACATAAAACACAAATTAAGATGGGACAGAAAACCGCTACGTTCACGCTCGTAGTCCTTGGGCCCGACTGAGAGCGGTTTATAGAAAGCAGTTGGCGACAGCAAAAAAATGGTCAAATGGCAACCGCCATTTTGGATTCTTTATTTCGAACTTATCTTATTTATTCGATTTCCGTTTAACAATATTAGGAACCTTCGCATACTAAAGGCCTGTTCTTTTTAACTGAACTTTTGCACCAGTTCATCTTCCTTCCTTTTCTCTCCAGGAGAAAAGAAGAGGAAGAAAGATGAACTGGTGCAAAAGTTCAGCCAAAAAGAACAGGCCTTAAGTTTCACATGAAATAATCCACTCGTATTGAAAATCATGTATTACAGAGAGGGTGAAATATAGGACTTTAACTCGAAAAATGACGATGTTCCCTGCATTTTCAATGAAAACTAATGGCACCATCGTGTTCAGCAAGTCGAAATCTGTAATATTCACTATGTTTTACACTTTTCCGTTAGTGGGCACAAAACGGCCTTTTCTGTACTATGTTTTTTATTCTACGATTCGTGAAAAGTCTTTGATCTTTATAAAAATTAAAATAGGGAAGAAAAAGAAAGATTCGATAATAATGACGGAAATCGGCAATTTCTGTCATTATCATCGGATCTTTCTTTTTCTTCCCCATTTTAATTTTTATGTGGAATTAGAAATTTTTTCAGCTTAACTTTTGCAGGGTTTATCCTTCTTTTTTCTCTCCATGTTTTGGAGAAACAAAAATAAAGTCGAATGGTGCACACAAGAAATTTAACTAAAAAAAGATCGGGTTTAATGTGAAAGAATGATCTTAATTTGTATTTTATTACACTCGATAGCTTCTTATTTTAGAAAGAATACTAGCGGATGTGACACTCGGCAAACTGCTAACTATCTTGGTAGGATTGTTAATAGGGTTGAGCATCCAGTGTATGCACATTGTAGAAAAGATATCTCGGTTCTATCGGAATTTCTATAAGAGTATTTTAAGATATTCTAAGCAATTTAATGCTAATAATTGTAGCGCAAAGAATTTATCGTTTATTTCCAACGAAAAATAAAATAATACTATATATTTTTATGATAATTCCCGGGAAAAAATGTTATATAAATGGACACATTTTATATATAGTTATATACAAAATATGTCAATTTTTTATATAATTATATAGTTATATAATTTTATATAATTATATATGTATAATCATATATGATTATATATGAAACATTTTTTCTCGAGAAGTCTATATATATAATATGATGCTACAAGATACAGAACTATTATTGTATTTTATATATATAAATTAAATAATATATAATTAAAGACGTCATATTGCAAGATACAAAATGCCTTAAAAAATCGTAATTATTTCATAATACTCACTACGGGGTGGTACTATAATTTTATATATTTATATTCTGTTAACATTTATTGCAAATATTATTTGTTTTGTTAAGAGAAAAAAAGTATTTTGTTTATGTTACAAAATTTAGACTTGAAACAAGAAATCTATATTCAGATGCTTAAAATATACGTAGAATGTGGTACGAAATGATAGGAGAATAGCAAATGCGATTTTCAATTTGACAGGAATGGGTCAAACGATATTGATCATGCAAAATTCGGGAAAAAGAAATAGAGAAAGAGAAGAATCACAGGAAGGGGGAAATTTGGCGCTACAATGTCTGTTCAGCATTATGGTCTAAATTATTCTTGTAATTATTTGCATTTTGTTGTGTTATCCCAGTCCAGAAGATCAACCATATTTCCCTGTGCTCTATATTGACCTATAACAAACGCGACCGTTACTCAGCCATTAATAGGTTTTCCTTGCTTCTCCGCAGTTTTGACGTCAGCATTTTTAACGCCGTGTTATTCTTGGCACTCACGTTGTGCGGTATCAGTACAAATTCGAAATTTTATAAATTATTCTCGAAGAGTACGTCTCTAAATTCGTAATTCACGCGAGTATAAAGATTTACGCGAGGTGCTATACTTATTACTGTTCATTGAACTGCATAATTATTATATTACAACATAAAAGTGGGAAATGATATAATAAAGCACAATAAGAATTAAAAAATACTTTATTTAAAGGATTAATTGCCATAATAAACAATAATAAGCTAAAAAAAGATGACTATAAAAAGTATATTCTATATTGTATATCCTAAAAGTCTAAATTTAATGATGTGTTGTGTGTGTCTACTGCAGTACTTCATTATAACAATTAGATGCTTCTAACATTTTATTATAACACATTATATTTAATAAAGAAAAATTAAATATGCGGAGTTATAAATAATTTTTTATTCGTAGCTTTAATTAGCAGACTACCATTCGCGTGACGTAAGCAAATTTATGTACTCACAAATTTGCATTATTTTGTCATTAAATTCGCAAGGGATCGTCTTTGCTACAGAGGAGTAATTAAGTACCGACGTATAACGTGCCGTTACACCCGGGCATTATTTCATAATTCGACACACTTGAAGGCATCCCTTGAATATTTCATTTCATTCAGAATCTGATCTTCACCCCCGCTACAATAATGCGCTTTCGTTTTTTTATTTCTTAAAATAATAGTCGATCGTTTTATGTGAAAACGTCAGCCCTTGCCCACGTAATTAAACGTGGCAATCGCCGAGAGGTGAATATATGTTTTTCGGGGTAATCGATTCACCAGGTCGTGCGCCTTTCTTCCTATCGATGTTCTCCATCCTCACCCTCACTTTCGTCACCTATCCCTATCTGCCGCCCCCGCTAACTTCTGCCCACGCGCACCTTGAGAATCCACAATGTTACTGTAAATGTCAGTCCTAAAATTTATAACTGATAATTCAGGGGTGATAAAAAGTTGGAGATGGTTTTTCGTCGATGAGTTTTGTTAAAATGAGATCTCGGTATTGTATCCGCACGTAGGAGTTGCAATCGATAAAAGACATCATTGTATTAAAGAATTAACTTGTCCTTTTCTCCTAGGGGAAATATTTTTATGTAATTTTTACGTTCGATAAAAAAATAAAAAATTAATATTCAATGTTTAATATTTTTGCATATACTGAAAAAAAATCTTAATTTCAAAGAAATATTCCTTTGCTCGTATTAAAAGAAATTTTTTTGGATCAATGACAATTTCTTTGAAAATAAAAAAAAAGATATTATATTATATCTTATTTTCAAAGAAATAATTTTTGAATAGCAAAGAAATATTTATTTGAAATTAAGATATATTTTTTTCAGTGTATAAATATCGTTATAGAGAATATTTTATGTATTATTTATAAAAGGATCACATTTGCTTTATAATAGGTCATATATCCTACGACTTTTGGTTTTCAATGGCAAGACATTATTAAACTTCTAATAAAAGCAAACGCTAATAACTTAATTAGCCATTAAAGGCTAATCAAATTACTCGTGTTTGATGCAGAAATAGACCAATGTTACTTCTAATATTACTCTGAAGTATGGAAAGTGCTTGACATTTATGTCTTAATTTCATTAAGTTGAAGCTCATTAGAGTTTCTGATAAACAAATTTTTGCTATTCAAGGGTAACGTGATCGAAATATGACTTTTATAATTTCTAATATCAAATAACTCCAACGTCAAAATAATTTTTATTTTCTTTTTTGACGATTTGTAGTTGAAAAGATGTCGAACGCCGCGGCATTCTATGTGTCGTGAAGGGAAATCATTAATCGACACATCTACTTGTTTCTATAGACGAGGAAACGAATTGGCCAATGCAGGCGACGTTCACCAGGAAATAATGCACCTTCGAAGTCATATTAGTACCGGTTCTTCATCTCCTGAGAGGCTCTCAATTCGTCCATCTTCCGGGTTTCCTCCTCCCCCTCTCGCCCGAATTTCCGCTCTCCGTGCGAAAGGGATGAGAGGAGAGCGAGACGGAGAGAGAGCCAGAGGGACGCGATCTCCGTCGCGGCGCAGTCGGGGGCGCAGACTCAGCGGCAGCCAGCCAAAGCCGGTTGTCCACGCCCCCCGCTTCGCCCCCGGCGGGGGCGTCGGGTTCGTGGAGGAATGGGACAAGAGGGTGTGCGAAGGGGGTACGCGATAGCGAGGGACGTACGGCCGCGGTGGTGCAGGCGGCAGGATACGGGGTGGTTTTCGGGGGATGGTGGGGCGCGACACGGAACGCTGCG